ACTAATTCACAATTAGTTCTGAGGAAATGTGATTTTAGGTTTGAGGTTTTTCATTAAATCTAAATTCTGTTTTACTATTTCACATATATTTTAATTTGTGCTATTATGAGAAGATGCATTATAGCTCAAAATATTTAATAAGACTATGCATATACCATAAGAATATAACACATTATCACAAGTGCAATACTTGCAAGGTAATTTTAATGATGCTAAAGCCGGTTCTGTGACACCATAAGGATGACTCATTTGAAACTAAGGGAAGGAACATCAGTTTAGAGTGTTTCTATATATAGAAATAATTGCAAAATTTAGGAGATAATATTTTAACTACAGAAATTGTTTTCTCGATGTTAGCACATATTCAGTAATCAGAAGACACGTCTATGCTTAATGCAACTTTTATTTTTACTCTCCTTAAGGTTATTAGCAATGAATACTAAAATGCACCTTGAATTTTATAGCTTGGCTGTATGAAGTTGAAAAAAAATCAAGCATTTGTCTCACAAATCCAAGAGGAAAGGTAGCCAGTTTGAATAGATTGTCCATCCTCACTTCAAATTCCTAAATCAATCCAGGGGTCTGGGTATCCTTTGCCTCATAACTGACTTCATGATCATAGGGCACTTATCCAAAGGGCAGGAGTAGAAATAAAAATCGCACTGACAACACTTTAAATATAGTTTGCATCTGGGGGAGCAATTTTTCTCCACATGCCACCTGTGTTCAACTGTCAACAATATACTGCAAAATTTAGTAAAGTATCTTAAAGTTTTTTACTAGCCCCACATTAGTTGAGATTTGCTCCCTTCACTCTCAATTGCATTTTTTTTCCATCCTCCTAAAAAGCAATTCTATGACTGCTTCACGCATTTTACATGACATAGCATTTTAGCGGTTGCAGTGGGATTCCTCAAAAATGAAAAGTAATCATAAATGTAGTATAGTATCTCTAAATGACTGGGAATAGAAGCAACTCCCTTTACAAAGTACATGTATACACTTGGGTATAGCATGCACACTCATTTTCAATGTCTAATTTCTTCAATATATACACAGATGTATATATGAGCCAATACTCTCAAATTGTGAACAGTTAAAGTCAGGATGTTTAAACTCTAAAACAAGCATTTCATTTAGAAAATTAAACATGACTGCTGACCCAGCACCAAACTCTACTACATCTCTCACAGATTGTTTTATTATTGGAAGAAGTTGTCAAATGTAAATAGGTCACTTAAACAAAAACAAAAACAAAAACATTTTCATTCATACCCCGCAAAAAGCACACTGGGGCCAAGAAAATTAATTCCCCAAATGCTGTCAACCGGGTTGGGAAATAGCAATAAACAGCTTTCTGTAAAGCCCCTCCAGCTACAATAAACCGGCTGTCAGTAAGCAAGCGGAGAGCTGGGCTGTGCACAAGCAGGTACTCTGGAAATGATCATCTGAAAGGGAAAGGAGCTGATGTTTCTGACTCCAACATGCTGAGGCAGTGGTTCTCAAAGTATGGTTCCTGGACTAGCAGCATCATGGCCCAGGATCTTGTCAGCAGTGTAAAATTTCAGTGCCCCTGGGGGCCAACCCAATGGCCCTGAATCAGAACCTCTGGGAGAGAGCTCCAACAACCCATGTTTTAAGAAACCCTCCAGGTGATTCTGAGACACCCTAAAATTTAGAAACTTAATATCAGGCATTATAAAAGTCACATCCATTAAGAATATATTTTCCTTTTAGAAAAATACACCAATGAGCTTTATCACTTAAAGCCCTACTGGAATTGATGTTGTCATCCTCTTAATAGTGAACTCTGCTTATTTGTGAATAAATATCGACATGACCTTGCCTTTTTTTTTTTTAAGGGACATTTCCCTCAATCTGTGAAGGCTTAAGGATACTTCCAAAAATTCATGCAAAATAATTTGTGGAAAATCCAATGACTGACTTGTTATATTCGAGGAAAATGAGAACTTAGCGAAATAGAGTGGATGAGGAATGTGGTTTCCAATGTTCTCTGCAGGGTCACCCAGGGCAAAACAGCAGGGGAATAGAAGACAAAATAAGAACCAGTGCACTATAAGCAAACTCATGGTGTAAGAGTCAGACATGTTTTCCTTGTATAGATGATACAAATTAAAGATACTTAAACCCTTTACTCAGGAGTCTTGAATTTTACTCACACATCACCTAGCACCATTAAGTGAAAAGGTATTCCTGTTAACAGCAATCTGTGCCCACTCACCTAAAAATCTTCACAGATTATATGTTTATTAATTCCTTTGAAAGCTTTTGTTGTAATAAACCCTACTTTTTCAAAATCATGTAGCTTCAGGAGCACATTTTGTATAAAAGCCACTAGTTGAAGTGAAGGAGCTAAAAAAAGAATTTTTATTTTAGCTTAACTAGAACATCTTCAGATAACATTCATGTGGTTCAGTTAAAAAAGGAAAACTAAAAGGATAGTATATAATTTGTGTTCTTCATTCATAGAAAATATGCCTCTTCTATACTAAAATTGTACATCTTGCTATCACCATCACTTCTCCTTACTTCCAATGTTCCTTTTCTCCAACACTGCAATTTTTCTTTCTCAGCATGAAAACTTCTAAAAGGTATAAGCAAAGCCATTTCAATAGCTCTTTATCATAATAGTGAATTATAGCTACGTCTGAACATCAAAATGCCTACAGTGAGAACTGCACAGTGACACATGGTCTCAAGGAATGTCTAAAATGCACTTTAGTTCCAGTTAGAGAATTAGTCAGCATCCTATTTTAAAGATTACATCATACAAATATTCTTATGACTAAGCCTCAACAAAGTATCTTTTCCATAATTTGCTGAAATGCACTTAACATTTATGTCACTGTACTACATATAGTTTCAACTCTTGCAGAGAAGTCAGAAGAAGTGGGTCTGCACGTCAATGCTAATACACACCACGTTTATATCAAAAGAAAGAGGATGTCGGAAGAACATCAGTCTCTTCCTTTGGAAAACAAATTTCAGAATTTATGTGAAAACTTTCATTCATGTTAGCTTTTTTCCAAGTTATTATGCAAATCATAAAGTCTCAGTATATTGTGAGTGACCATCACATTAAAAGTAAATTAAAAAGAAGCCATTTTCTTTCTTTTCATTAATAGCAACTTCATATTTAGTCTCATAAATTACTGTACACGATTAACTATTTACCAACTTTCATAAACCTTTGCTAAGCTCGGAAATTTTCTAAATTTTAAAACACCAACCTCTCTTAAGAAGCTGAGGAAGTTAACATAAAAATACATCCTTCCAACTTGAACTTCTATGGAGTAACTTCATATTCTCCTCTAGAGTTTCTATATGGACTTATTTTAATTCCTTTCCTTCTGTGCATTCAAGCTCTAAGTATGTGTACTTTTAAAATGCTCTAGGGATCTAATCTTTCACTTTTAAAAAGTGGAGATTATAGTGGGATAATCATAGGCATTATGCCTACTGTTCTGGGACTATCTATGTGATTCATTGTCGAAATTATTTTTATAAATATCTATTACCACCAAACCTTAAAGTCACTCCAGAGCAATAAACACTAGATTATAAGAGGGAAATAGAGTTTCAATAAAACATTCTATCTCACCCCACCCCCCAATAACAAAGGAAAAACTCTTGAGTTTTCAAACTCTAATCAACAACTGTCAGTACTTATCCTGCAAATTTATTTTGCTTTCCTTGATTTTCTGAAATCTGTATGTTCCTTATCTTCAACAAATTCAGACGGGCCATCACCATGGGTGGACTCAATACCAACAATACCAACAAGGATAGCACTTGGATTGCGAAATCCTAGAAAGTTAGTGTGGTGAGAACTAATCGCAAAAGAGCAAGCAAATGAATTTAAATGCTGGCTGCTCCAGAGCAACTGTCATTAAATAAAAGGTATCTTTGGCTGTAGCACCAGCTTGATCCTTCCCTCCCCCCCTCTCCTTGCTACTGCGGGCTTGGCACCTGGCCAGCACAAACGACATGATACCCTAGTGCCATCTACAGGGCTATTACTGACACTCAAATTTCATGGCAATAGACAAGCACCAGTGAAATAAATTAGACAGAGCTGCATTTAAATCTTTATTAACAAGGAATTATTAGACCTAAGAAAAACTAATTCTGGATTTGGTTGAAATATGAGTTTCTCAGCCTCTTAATCCCTCTTCATATGGCATATTTCACAGTTTAAAATGAGTTATGACAGATCACTTATGCATTACTAAGATGGGAGAATATTTACAATGGATTCATTCTTTTCTGTATAAATTGGTTATATCAGGGAGAAAGCATTCCTTCTATTTTTTTTTTTTCTTGAAAGAGTACTTTGGCCATTATGGACAATTTGCCAACCTTTCTATTCAATACCCAATTTACTATATTACAATAAAATCATCTGAAATCAAAGAGAAGGCTTCCTATATGGCTTCGTTGCAATCTATCGACAATCATGTGCTTCAAAGCTGATGTACATTTAATAATCTACCATCTCGTTTAGAGACTAAAAAAAAATTAACCCCTTTAGCAACCACAGCTCCAAAATAATTACGGTCAGACCTTCAAACGTCATTTAAAACTTGGGATTTGAAGGTGACTTTTTAGATCAAAAGGTAATGTGGAAATCTTGAAGCAGTCAATTTGGAAACCCCAGGAGCAGAATTTGGCATATCGGGACAGGTTTTCTTCTTCAGCAAACATTATCTTGGGACATTTTTGGAATTATTTCCTCTTTTCATCTTTTGCCATTTGAAGGAAACTGGGAGGTTAGATAATTCTCAGAACTCAGAAATTTCAAAGCTGTTCTAAAAATTCTTGACTGAGCCCCAGAGGAACAGAAAAGGGGTCAAGTTTTTTTTTCCCTCTTTCACACTAAGCTAAAGTTAGACCAAAACAAGAGACACACTGGCACGTTAATACTGGTTGACTGGGCACTTGTATGCAGTACTTATAGACCAGTAAAAGTGCTCGTTTACCTGTCTGGTGTGTAAGGGGCCCTTTGTCTTGAAGCCTCCTTGGGAACTGCACTCTGAGGCACTGAAGTGATCTGAACTAGTGGAAGAGCGTTTGGAAAGGGTGTCACAACCCCCGACAAAGGTGTTGTCCAAAGGGAGTTCCTGAATCACATGATGCTTTTTCACGGAAACTGGAGTGTCTGGTTTAAGATGAAAAGCAGGCTGTGGAGAAGCCGATTTGTAGTGCTTGGCCAGGTCAGGGCTGTTAGGCTTGAAGGTTGTTGGAGGGGCTGGGCCCCAGTCAAATCTTCCTATACTTTGCTCCTCCAGCTCAGCCGGCAGGCTTATGGTCCCATTGATAGGTTCGTGAACTGCATCATCAGGTTTGGACTCTTCGATTGTAACAAAGTTCAAAAGAGAGCTCTTGGGAGACTTTCTTTTCTTCCTTTTTTTTTTCTTGTTTTGTTTGTTCTCCTGGTTTGGGGACATCCATTCAGCACCTTGCTTGCTCCTCTGAGCTGCTTTGAACCGGGATGCATGGCGACAGCGCACCAGGACGGTGACGAAGATCACGACTATGACCACCATGGCACCTGCAACAATGGCAATCATGATGGTGAGATAGTCTTCGTTTTGATAGGGTTGGCTACTGTCCCCTATGTTCCTGTCCAGTGGGGTCTCCATAGTCCTGCGAATCAAGTCATAGATATAGGAGGCATTCCCAGCAGTGTCGTTAACGTAGAGAAAAACAAGCACAAGCGTGTGCAGAGACTTCGGGTACCCCAGGTCACTTATGTTGACCACCAGACGGTGCAAACCCACGTCAGTGGGTGCCGGCTTTTCTTCCAGAGTGATGTTACCTGTTACTGGATCAATCCGAAACAAGCCTTTGTTGTTCCCACTCACAATTGTATACTTCAGTTCAGCATTCATCCCAGTGTCAATGTCCACTGCAAAAACTTCCGCTACCACAGAGCCAGGAATGGCCGAGAGGGGCACCAACTTAAAAGAAGTGTTGGAAGGTGGAGAAATGACAACAGGGCTATTGTCATTGACGTCCATGACATTGATGGTGACTTTTGCAGTAGAGGAGCGGGGTGGTTGTCCTCCGTCAGTGGCTTTGACATCAAAAGTGTAGGAACTCTGCTGCTCTCTATCAAATGAGACATTTGACTTTATGACTCCAGAATAGGGATCCAACACAAAATTATCATTGTCATTTAGAATGGAAAGAGTCACAGCTTTATTCTCTCCAGCATCTGCATCTGTCACTGTGATTACCCCCACAGTACTATACTTTGGCAGATTCTCAGACACAAAAAATTGAAAATGATTATGAGTAAACTTGGGGCTATTGTCATTCTCATCCAGAACAGTAACTATCACAGCCGCTTGGCTTTGGAGGGGAGGGGTCCCATTGTCCCTGGCAGTTACTGTAAAAATGAATCGTTCTTGTTCTTCTCTGTCAAAGACTCTGGAGGCTGTCAAAACTCCTGTCTTTCGGTCCAGATCAAAGAAGGAGGCATTCGGCCCAAGCTGATAAACAATGTCCGCATTTTTCCCACTGTCTTCATCTGTAGCACTAATAGTTGTTAAGTATAACCCACGTCGGTTGTTTTCAGAAACTGACAGCTCAATTACAGGCTGGTTGAAAATTGGTGGGTTGTCATTTTCGTCCTCAAGCTTAACCCTTACCAGGGCAGTCTGATTTAAACTGGGCTTCCCGGAATCGGAGGCCACAATTTTAAAGCTGAATTCTTTGGTGCCCTCATAGTCCAACAAAGAGGAGGTCTCTAACAAATATTGGTTGTCGTACACTGCCTTCAAATGAAATGGGACCTCTCTTTCAATAAAACAGATCACTTTGCCATTCACATCTGTGTCCTTATCTGAAACTGTAATTAGGGCAATCTTTGTATTGACAGGGTCTTTCTCAGATAAATACACTGTGCCATTTATGGGACTTATGATGTACCTGAGGTCTATGTTAGGAGGGTTATCATTGACATCAGTGACATTGATGGTAACCGTTGCTCGAGCGGGGGTGGAGCTGCCATCACTAGCCAGCACTGTCACTTTGTGAATGGCTGTCTCCTCTCGATCTAAGGACCTCTGAACTGTAATCAGCCCAGTAGTATTATTTAAAGCAAAGAGTCTTTTGGTTGCAGGGGCGACCTGGGCACCAAAAATGTACCGGATTTCAGCATTACTGCCTATATCTGCATCAGTGGCATGGAGCTGAATTACAGAGGTGCCTACAGGAGCATTCTCTGGAATGTGCACCTCCACTTGACCCTCTTTAAACACTGGCCTGTTGTCATTTACATCACTTACTGTGACCTGCAGTATGGCCGTGCTGGATTTCTGTGGAGTGCCTCCATCCTCTACTTTGATTTTCATCACATAGGTATCTTTCTGTTCTCTGTCCAAGTTTTGCTGAACAATCAATTGTGGCCACTTCTCTCCCTCCGGAGTTTCCACGATATCCAGCCCAAAAACACTCTGCCCATTTAGCAATTCATAGTGCTGTACACCATTGAAGCCTGTATCAGGATCTGTTGCCGATGGAATTGGAAAGCGGCTGTTGATCAAAGTGTTTTCTGGAATGGAAATATTGATGACAGGAGATGGAAACATGGGGGCATTATCATTGGTATCCTTGACAATTATTTTTATTTTGATCAGCCTGAAAAAATCATTGGGGAGGATCACTACCTCAAGTTCAAAGAAACACTCATTCTCCTCAGCATAAGAGGCTCCAGCACAGAGTTTTTCTCTGTCTATTCTATTGGAGGTTGTGAAAATTTCCCCAGTGCTACTGGATACTTTCACCAAAGGGGCATCCCCAGCTTTAGAAACCAGTCTGTAGACGAGGCTGGCACTGGTCCCCGTGGCAGCATTGATGTGAGAAATGTTCAGATCCTTTGGTATGTTTCCTATGGGCACATTTTCAGGCAGTTCCTCTCTAATAGTGTAAATAAGTTCTTGAGCTATTGCGGAATCCAGCCTTAAACAGGCAATCAGAGCAGCCAACAGGTAAAAATCCCTCAGGTCCATGATAATGTACTTATTTTCTTTTCCCAGATTTTAGGGTTTAATGGTTTCCACTGAGGAATGATGCACGAATTGCAAGAGGAAGTGTGCATGGACTGGAGGATGCATTACATCTCATCGCTTATTTGGAGACAGCCACTGTCAACACAATCATATAGACAATATTATACTTCAGTAAACAAAAACACACAGTCATGAAATATCACAACACATTTTCCACTGCATATTAGTAAACATGGCAGTTTGCTCTGCCACTGTTTGCAAGTTAACTCTGTGGATGAAAACACTAAATATCCACTGCTTGTTGCATTTGCCCAGAGAAAATGAAATTAATCTACTTTTGAATTAAGGACAGCTGCTATTTTTACCTGTGTTCACCCACACTGGTTTTTTCAGGACACTGTTTAATTCAAAACATGCATTCTTGTGTTCTCTTCTTCCCCTCCCCCTGTCTTCCCCGCCTCCTGGCTTCCAACCCACCTCCCTTAGTTTTTTTAGGTGCAAGTGAAAAACGCTAAGTATTTAGCTATGGTTCCTGCTAATTGCTTTGTCACATGTCAAATGTGATGTTTTCTTCTCTGCTACACTGAGTCATCTCTTTCGTCTAAAAAGACTATCTTTTTTCTTTCCTCCCAGTTCTTTAACTGCCTTCTAACCCAATCTTACTGGGAAACAAGCATCCGGACATGCTGCTGCAGCATCAGAAGCAATAGTCACCGGCCACTACATATCCTCATTGCCTAAAAGCACAATACCAAGACTTCAAATTTCCTGCCCAGACCTTGCTCTCATTTCTCCATATTGCCAAATTCTCCCCATTTGGATTAAGAAACACACTAAAACTTTTAAAAATGTATAAAGCAGGATTCCTTACCCTAGATGTGGAAGAGAGTGTTGAGATGTAAGTCAAACGCAGCTAACATTTCCATGTAACAGCACAATATTTTCTACTGAGCATAAAAGAGAGGGAAAAAATGCAGTTTCTTAACCCTGATCCCTGGTTATAATATTAGTAACATCTGCCACACATAAATACTGCAACCCAGTAACAGCAGGTAAAAAGGCTTCTGCTTAGACGCTCCCCTAACTGCAATTTAAATGGGTGCAAGCCTCCAGGCAGCTACCTACTTGAGCAGAACTGGTCAGTTCCCAGGCTCTAATCTTATCTGCATTAGGCTGCACGGTAGCTGATGCCCGCGATTAGTTCCAGCAGAGTGATGCAGGTAGGGATGCAGATACAGCCTAGTAGGTGAGCTCTGCCCCAACCGGCTACCCAATTACAAACATCTTTCGTCCACATTGAGGACATATCTAAACACAAAATTTACAATTGTACATGCGAAACTTTACACTTACGTTAGTTGCCTCAACCTTTCCCCTTTCCCGGTATGCTGCAGTTAAGAATGATTTGTTCCAACACATAGAAAGCCATGCATCTGGTAGCACCAGTTTGGGGAGAAATCAGAAGCAGCAAAACGTCTCCTCCTTGTAAAATGTGTTGCTTCGGGCTGGCAAATTAGCAACTCCAGAGAACAAATTCACAGATTTGTCGTTAGTCATTCTCTCCACATTTCGTCTCTATTACCCACGGGGTCTGGGCTCTTCTGGTATTTAACACACACACAACATCCAGTTGCACTTCTTCAGCTCTGGGGTATTTTCCACAGCATCAAGCATACCATTTCCCTCCGATGTCAATACTGCTTAAGTCTCTAACTTCTTGTAGGAAACGTCGGAGTTGGGGTGATGGTGATTCTCTGGCTGCTCTCCGGGATGACAGCTGTCTGAAAAATTCCTAATCGGTTATCTCTTTCGTGCTTCAGAGACTCTAAAGCGCTCCTTCCTGTCTTGCATGCTCTCCCTCTCTCCCTTCTCCTCTGCCCCTCTCTCCTTCTCCCTCTCCTCTCTGAACTGAATTTCTTGATATAACTCTCAATAAGCCCAGAGGGAGGGCGTGACTGCCCGAGCCCCGCCCCCGGCCCCTGATTGGCCCGCATCTTGCGGTGCGGGCGGCCGCAGCCGGGCGCGAGGGAGGGGGCGAGGAACAAGGCACTGACTGTCTCCCAGCTTCCCCTCCTCAGCGCCCCCTCGGCAGCCGCGAAAACCCGGAGAACTGATCCTGGCCCCGGGAGAGCCGGGTTCCGGGAGGCGCACTGAGCATGCCCAGCAGGGTCCGGCCGGGGAGGGAAACGCCGGCGCTTCCCAGGCCCGCGCGGCTGCCTCTCTCGTGACGCGCAAGCCGGGCTGGGGGGTTGCTGTGTGCCGCGCGGGGCAGAGAACGGCGGAGCACCGGTGGTGGGACGACCCGGGGCGGCGAGGGAGGCTGGCGGGGAGCACAGGCAAGGATCCGGGGAGCCTCCCGCACCGCGATGGGCGGACGGGGGACGCCGAGACGGCTCATCTCCGGGCTCACATTTCGCACTCGTCTGTACTAATGGAGGGGCCAAAATGAAAAGAAGGGAAAGAGTCAACCCGGGGTACGAGGCACGATACGCAGTCACCCCTCGGGAGGGAGCCCGGGCCAACAGCTCTCCGGAGAGCGTTAAAACAGACAACATGCCCAGTACTGCAACTAGAGGCTTTTGCTGGCAGGAACACTGGCAAGAAGGGCAGAGAGGGCGGACAGCGAAAGGTCGGGACAGGATATTTGAATCCTAATCAAGACCGGAAAGAAAATTAAAATTTGAGCACCTCCTAGAAGCAGGGTGACGGAAGCTGCCGGGCCGGGGGGGGGGGGGGGGGGGGGGGGGGGGGACAGTAGCAGGCTCTGGGAAGTCCCTTGATCAGCCCTAGGCCAGTCTGGCGTGCGGTGTGAAGTATCTCGGAGGACAGCACGGGCCACGGCGGCCGATCTTAGATGTCCTTGCACTTCGGCTCCCCCCGTGGCCGCAAACCTGGGAACCCGAGCTCGCCTGGTTGCGCGGCGGCTGTAGCAAAACCCGCTTCCAGCTCACCTAACTGCAAACTTTGCTTGCGAAAGGCTGGAAGGAGTCCCGCCCAGCTGCTCCCCGAAGTGTAGAACATTTCTTTTCCTTTTGCACTTCTGATTCCAACTTTACATGTAATACTTGTCTTTCCCTGTGCCTTTCTGACAAGTTCTGTGGCATATCCTCACACGTTTCTCATTTTCCTACAAGAGCTAAATGGAATGACTCCCGAAAGGATTAGCTTTGTTCCCTAAATATTAGCCCCCAAAGCACTGTTTTTGATCTTTTAAAAGTAGTAAACGACGAAAATTTGTGTAAGGGGCTCTACCTACAATGCCAGATACCTAAGTTTGAGGCATTAATAACAGTTCACTTGAACACAAAAAAATACTTTTGAATGACCTATAAAGGTTGTCTGAGAAGGTCTTAATGCATGATTGAGTAACTTGTTCTAACTTGCACGGAGGATAAAGAGCATTTATTTTAAACCTCCGTGTTCCATATTGTGTACCGGGCTGTAGAAGCATTAAGGCTCTTCACATAGTTATGCACTGTGATGGCATGTTTAGGGGATAGCTTTTGTTTTTTAGTACGTTTTTTAAAATAGGAACAACTTATTTTTAGATATTTAAGTTAAAACTAAAAAAAAAAACAAAAAAAAACACTAAGCCTACCAAGCTTAGATTTTGTATATAATTCCTTTTTTTTTTTTTTAAACCAACTCATGTGGCATTACAATTTCCCCTCATCTATGGAAATGTAAGCTCCTTTTTATTCAAACTTGTCCGGTGAATATTCACAGTAAAAGTGCAGTGCCTAAAAGCCAACTGTAAAATACACCTATGCCTTAGACATAAAATATAAAACCGGTTTCTTGCAAGCACTAGGTTGATATTGTTTTTAAATAGCCTAACAACTCATAAATAGTATTTTGTAGGATTAGAATACACAAATTTAATAAAAAGGGCTGCTTAAGTATCTAAAAATAAAAAAAAATATTACCTGATACAATGTGAATTAGAGGAATTCTTTTATCTTACCAGTGATTATTATTTTGCCATTCACAAAATCTAAAGTTAAAGCTAGTGCATTGTTCCAATCATCCCCTACTTTATTCTTTGGACTAGTTTACAATAAATGAACCATCATCCTAAAAGATTTATAATAAACACAGCAGCACACTTTCCAGTTCATTTCATAAGTATGCTATCTCACATTCTTATTCTAATCATACTGTAGTCATTTCAAAGTTCTGTTGTAATCGCAACACATAGCTTAGCAATAATTATTTAACCTTATTACCAAGCATATTTGTTTCTGTTTGCTAAGGGATACCTTGACTTGTAGTCAGAACCCATTATTATCCTGTGCTCATAGATGAAATCTTAGAACACAGATGAAGGTAAGGGAAGAGAAAAAGACCATCACATGATTAAATTTATGACCATGAGACTCCAATTAATGGAACCTACAGGTCAAAGCCCCCCAAAAGAAGTACCTCTAGATTCCTTGCGAAGGAAACTGAATATAGAAATAGAGCTGACTTCAGTGCAGTGCATCCTATTTTGTGTTTATTAAGCATTTCTAAATTATTGATATTCTTTAGCCAAACCAGTTTTAGCTCTTAAAGCCAGGACAACTGAAGCTTATTGTTTGCCCTATTATATTCCAATTTATAAACTATAGAATGAGAACTACGATTAAAGATCTCATTAATATTCCAGGAAAAAAATAACTTGAGGCTTCTGCCGAAAACACTATGTAGAACATGTGCATAACGAGAGCTGTTCACAATCTACCTCTATTTCAAAAGTTATGTCTGCAGAATTGTGAATTTGGGAAACAGTAATTTTAGCTTTTGTAGGGGAATATGTTGTTTTACTGCATTTTAGTCATTTATCCTTAGTGAATTTAATAAAATATTAGATTTCCAATTATGACTTCTAATACAGAGCTTTCAATATGTATTCTAGACTTCTAATTAGATCTCTTTAACCCTTATTCATCTCTGTAAATGCATGGCTTCTACAGCCAGGAATTATGATGTTCTCACCTGTGCTGTACCTGATTAGGACTTTAGGAATTATGTCATCTGGGCTGTAGTAAAATTGCCTTTGGTGTCCTTTGCGTGTTATATAAGTCATGGGACACTTGTGAAGCTAAGTCGCCTTCAGCCAGCTGACTGAAAACTAAAATGCTATTCAGATTTCTATAGACACAGATGTCAAGTTAAAATTTTTAAATTTCAAAAATTTAATGCTGCTCTGTTTATATGTATATGAAACAATAGTGTCCATGTAATGGCATTTAATAACCGAAATTATTACCTTGTTTAATTGGATTTTCATCTGATTTTCTAGTTATCATCCAGCATTTTAAAATTACTTTTCACAGGGATTGTAAAGGCTTCTTAAAGAAACATTTTATATAAGAGACAGACTGCGGTATTTGGAATGATCAAATGACCTCAAGGATTTCAAGACTAAAATTTTCATCTCTAATATACTAGTTGTATATTGCAATCAAAGTTAAAAATTAAATACTTCCTTCTAAAGTTCCTTTAATCCATATAGCTTATTGTGTCTAGCACACATTAATCAATCGATCACAGGGGCTCTGATGTCACAGCAGGTAGTATTGTCCCCATTTCACAAAAGAGGCTAGCCTACTGTAGTGTACTTGTGGGGGAGAAGTGTGTGAAGAACACTAAAGGTTATTTGTATTACTGTTTAGAAAATGACAATGCAGAACTTTCACACCACAGAAAGAAAATTAACACCTTTTAAGGCTGTGCAAACTGGCAAAGTTTAGTAAGCTTCTTGAGTAATTCCTTTGCTTCATTATTAGCTTTTTCCTTTGAATGCCTTTTTTTTTCTTTTTCTTTAAGAAAAACCTAGTCCAAGGTAATCAAATCACAAAGGAAAGCAGGTGACAAGAAGCTTCATTCTGTTTGAATGACTGAACTAAATTTATCCCAATTTGCTATATTTTTATGACTGACGATTACAGATGTCAGGTTTGTAGCTCTAACTTTATTACAATATTAACTGGCATTTTCCAGTGCAACTATTTTTTCATGATTACTATATAAAAGAAATACTGAATTTTCAAATTTCGTTATTGGTTATTTAAGACTTAAGGATATAGACAGACACAGCAAAGCTATTATCAGGGGTGTACAGGTAATCACTCGGGAAGACATGAAAAAGGGGTTTTAAGATAGTAAAGAGAGAATATATATTTAACTTTAATTTGATCACTTTAAAGTCATGTTATTCCAAGTGAAATAGAACATACAAAACTTCCTATTTCTCGTGTATGACATTTTTGTGGGTAAAAGCTGTTAGAATATCAAGGATGATCAATTCATATTTATATAAATGTCCAAAGATGCAAAAATAGCATGCACATTTGGAAGCACCTCTATTTACACTTAAAATAGAAATAGAAAAATGTTCGAGACAAAAACATGTTTCAAGTACAACAGCATCTGCCCAAGGATAATTGGGAAAATGATTTTCTTAAATATTAGGACTTTGTCAAGTTAAAATATAGTACAGGTTTTTTATTCTTTCAGTACTTTCTCAATAAGAGTATGTTGTTGAAAACAGAACTTCGTATTACTTGAAGCAGCATTCTAGTAATTTATTCTATACCCCCCAAACTTTTTCATGCCTATAATTTTTTCCTGTTTTTTTAAGGACAAATTCATATGATATTCTTCTAAGAGCCCAATTTGTTATATAATGTGCACGTAAATAGACTTAATATAGGGCAGGATGGATAAGCCTCATTTTTCTCTTATAATCTCCTCTCAGGAACCAAATTCAACCCACAGTTCCCTCTAATTGAATTAGGATGAGTCAGGGAGACTATGCATATTCCATTGACTCCGGCAGCCCTGGCTTAACTCCGTATCACTGATAAGACCCAAGTAATGGATATAAGGATTGATCAGCCTTTAAAAGATACTGCT